TTTTTTTCTCACTACCTCAGGGCGAAGCAGGAACAGCACGCGGTGTCCTGAGAGGACTCTCCACAGATCTGCCAGGAGCCTCCCCTGTTTCTCAGGGATAAGACTACAGCTACACCAGTATGAAAAGCCTTTTTTAGAGGCATACGTAAATTAACATAAGTAGTTAATCCACTTTTTTTATTAAACAACTTCACCCTTTTGGTTTTCCGTCAATCCAACCAGTGACCTCAGGAGTACATTCATCCAGGTGGATGCTGCACATTGATGGTGGTGGAGGGGAAAAGCGCTTCAGTGGGGTATCCAGACAAGCACTGTACTGTATAAGTGTAAGGAATGATTATAATTATTATTATAACCCAAACCCTAACTCCTTGGTTTAAATCTTTGCAGCATTGTGTAGCATTGAGGATTGTGAGCCTTGAGGATGCTGCTATGTGTGGTTGTCGGATAACATACAGTACAAGCCCGTCTCTATGAGAGCAGGACTGTGCAACATTAAACATTTGTTCATTTCGGGGTTCTCCAAGTAAAATACAGTGTTTTAAACTGTATGCAAGCTAGATTATCCTTGTAGAAATCCCCAGTAGAAATGTGTTTCACACCAGAACATTAAGCAACATTAATGATGTCAATGGGCCAGTCAGCCCATCAGGGCTCACCACTGTCCTGCAAACTCAACAGCTGGGCCACACTGGCAAGCCTGGGGTCTGCCACCGCATGTCCGGTAATCCCTTATATCCTCTGATGATTACCTGTCTGTAAACGCGTTCCCACATTTACAGACATGGAAAACCTGACTTCCAACAAGTGTGCACGTATGTTCCAGTGCTCTGTCAACTGAACTTGGAATAACCCTCAGCAATCAACTGTTTCTACTCCCCTTAAAATTCTGAAGACCTCCCTCAGATCTCATCTTGCACATCTCTTTCTCCTCCTCCAGTGTGAGCTCAGAATTCATCTCCCTCGGCCCTGGAACGCCTGCTGCTGCTCTTCTCCTGATCAAGTTTAACCTGGATTCTTCCGTCTGCGTTACACATCTGACCACCCCTTTCCCCCTTATTGCCCTCTGCTTACATTGTACTGACGCAGACAGTATCGCAGCTTCTTCAGGGCAGCAGAGCGGTCCTCTCCCCACACAACTAACTTCGCAATCATGGGATCGTAGTGCACAGAGACCTCATCACCTGGTGGGCAAGAGTTTGTTAACAAGGTTAGCGCCAGTCTAACTCATTTCCTCCCAAACCACAAACAAAAAACACCACCACACAAAAAACGAAAAGGGCTCATACAAATCTGCACTGAAATACATAATAATACTGATGCTCTCTTGCAAAGACAAGGTGCCTCACAGCTATCCAAAAATGAATAATGTAACCCTAATTATTAGGTTCCTGATGAGTATTCTCCATTACCTGTAAAGCGCCTTAAGTGGAGTGCCCAGAAAAGCGCTATATAAGTGTAAGCAATTATTATTATTATTTTTATGATGATGATGTTATTACCATAGTGCATAAATCAGACAGCACTGCGGTATGGATCTACAGGGAACAGGGCACTGAAAACACTGAAGCGCAATTCCAGATTGAAAACCACGGGACAGAGATGGGATACACTGTTCGACATTCCCAGGCCCGCCTGGGATGGCCGCCTGAATTTTTCTTAGCATCAGGATGTCACTCTGGATGTGCACTGCTTGGAGTCCTGGGAGAAAGGCAAGGGGCTGCTGGAGGAACCTCCTGTTCTCTTTGTTGTAAAAGTGAAGGTGAGACGAAGGTGCAGCAGTAGTCTTCCAGCCGCCTCACAGCTCGTAGCCCAGCTGCGTCCGGCGCCAGCGTTTTCTCTGGGCCCCTACCTTGCCTCACGCCCGTCTCGATCCGCGTGAGCGCGTCGGCGCGGGGAGTGGACAGGTGCAGCAGAGGCCCGGCCCCCGGGAGGAAGTCGTTGTCCGGGTCCTCGGCATAAATCCGGGCTTCGAACGAGTGGCCCCTCAGAGCGATTTCCTCCTGCTTCAAGGGCAGCGCCTCCCCAGCTGCCACCTGAGCGCCAAGACAGAGACGAGACCCCCGTCAGCGCGACAGGAAGCCTCAATGGGGGCCTTTAAGCCCTTAAAGAGAGAAATCGAGCTGCGAACTGTGAAAACACCTCACCTCTATCGTCTGAAACAACTGCTGTTTCATCACAATTGCGCTGTAGACCTATGAGCTCACATTGTGTTGCAAGACTTCGCCAAATCTGAGTGTGTGACTATGTCTGTCAATTTTATTTTACTTTTATTTTTTGTTTTGTTCATTTTCATGTTTCATGTTAATGTTCTTATTTTTATTTGCTTTGGCAACACTGATTGTACCCATCAGTCATGCTGATAAAGCACCTTGAATTGAATTGACTATGGGAGGGTTACGCCCTCTTGTGGTCACTTTGTCAGTTTAGTTGAAATCGGTTTTAGTGCCACATGGACTTCAAAAGGAACTGAGGCATCTCATGAGAAAATGATGCAGGAGAAGCATCCATGGGATCGCCTTTCCTGGCTCTATGAAGGCAAACTGACCCCATCCTGATCGACCCGTTTACTCCATGTCCCCTCTGCAGCGTGGCGGCCGTCTCTCTCACCCTGAGCTGCCACTCCACCAGGTCAGTCCCCGTGATCATCTCCGTCACCGGGTGCTCCACCTGCAGCCGTGTGTTCATCTCCATGAAGTAGAAGTTGTGCTGAGAGTCCATGATGAACTCCACCGTCCCTAAGAAGGAGTTTCAGAGCACGTGCTGCATTAAACAGCAACAGGTACCACAATTCCAAAACAAACAGCGTGTGGAAATTCTTCTGGTGTTTTCTGCAAGAGGCATCATTACTTTCATCAGCTAGCGTGACGAGCTCTGAGCTCCCTTTGGCAGCGCTGGTACTCAGTGTGGGGCTGTGCTGGAGGCTGATGCCACACCTGCTTACAGGTGAAGTGTCAGGCAGGAGTGAGGAGTGAGGCATCAGGTAGGAGAGAGGAGTGAGGCGTCAGCAGGCAGGAGAGAGGAGTGAGGGAAGAGTGAGGCGTCAGCAGGCAGGAGAGAGGAGTGAGGGAACAGTGGGGAGTCGGGTAGAAGTGCTTCCCTTGCATGACAGCTAGAGCAACCTGCTGGGCCAATCGGATCGAACACCTGTGCTCACCTGCGCCCACGTAACTGACCGCTTTGGCAGCTCGCACTGCTGCCTCGCCCAGCTTCCTCCTGACCTCCGGGCTGATTCCCGGCTGCGGGCACACGAGCAGAATACAGGCCAGTTGTCAGAGAGAGCCTCACAACCCCCGCTCCCCTGCGCCCCCGACAGCAAGCAACCAAGAAGAGACTGTACCCCAGGCGCCTCTTCGATGATCTTCTGGTGCCTCCTCTGCACGCTGCAGTCCCTCTCGAACAGGTAGACAGCGTCTCCTTGCTGGTCCCCGAACACCTGAACTTCCACGTGCCTGCGGGAGAGCAGAGGGCACAGTCCTTCGGCTCAAGGAGTTGAGGATTTCTGTGCAAAGAATCAGTGTCCTTCTGCAGAGAACCTGGTCTCTGCCCCCTCCACCCCCCCACCATCGAGGAGCAAGAACACTCTCCAACTGTCAAAGCAGGTGGCTCCACTTGCCCCTATGCGTTTTCCATTACATCGGCACCACTGGGTTTCAAACTCTGGTTTCTGAAACTTCAGACGTTCCCAGAAGAACAAACCCCCTTGCAAGGAGAACATGCTTTTCAAAAAAACAACAAAAACGAAATGCATCCTTAAACTAAGTTCACACCATCCTCCTTCTCTCCATGACAGACTTGTTTTCATGTAACCTTCTCTATTCTCATGCAGGTTTTGACTTCACACCTTTCTTCACACTTCTGCACTTTGCACTTCCTGAGTGGCCTCTGCCCCTCCTGCCTCCTTCCCTCTCCCAGCTTGTGTTCTTCTGTGCTATTTAATCTTTGCGGTCTGCCCTGTCCTTCTCACACCTGAAAAAAGCTTCACAGCCAAAACGTTGTGTTTTCTCTCTTCTCTTTTCAGCACGGAATAAACCTATTACTTCCTTTGCAGAACATGCTTTTCTCCTCTTGCCTCAGCTGGATCCAGTTCACCAGCCTTACAGCAGAGGGCACTGTGACCAGGTTTCCTCTGTACTAAACTGCTACAGCAACACAGAGCGCTCCCCTATACTGTACATGGTAAATGACAAAGACGGACAGACATTTGAAAAACATACCTGGGGTTTTCCACGAATTTCTCGACTAGCATGACATCGTCGTTAAAAGATTTCCGGGCTTCCCGCCGCGCAGATTCTAGCTGGTCGCGAAAGTCAGCTTCTGTTCGAGCGATACGCATCCCCTGAACAGAGCAGTTACAGAGCAGTCTTTAACTCAGGAAGAGCACCCTAGGTGACATATACACACCACAGGATATGTACATTCATGTCTTGGAATCATCATATCCCTTTGGGGTTGTGGTGATCCGAAGCCTTTTAGCTTGTCCTTGGATTGTGGAAAGAAATCAGAGAACTCAAGAGAAAACCCACACAACCGCAGGAGGAACATGCAAACTCCACACAGACAGAGCCAGATTCAAATACATGGTGAATACTGACCTTCCCGCCTCCCCCCCGCACCGCCTTGATCATCACAGGGTAGCCAATCCTGGCCGCCTCAGACAGCAGCCTCTCATCTGATTGGTCCTCGCCATGGTACCCTTCAATGATGGGCACCCCTGCCGCCGACATAATGTGTTTTGAAGTGCTGTAAATCAAACCAGAGGCTGCTGAAAAAAAAATCCTCTTCTGACCAAAAGAAATAAGAAAAAAAAAAGTTCCAAGATCTTCAGGACCTACTATAGTCCTGAAAAAGCATGACTGCTACTGTATGTACTTTATCAGTACAAATGACAATGAAAACAACATTACAGGCACCAGAATGTCGGTTCTCATGACAGAGCTAACTGGGTAAAGGAGTCTGTAATAAAGGTGAATCTGGTGTTGAATTCTCCTGCAATACTGTGGGCACAGCAGAGTGGTGATGGAGAAGTACGCTACACACGTAACAGTCACAACACTTGCCAGCAGTGCTGGAGTATTTTTCATGAAATAAACTTTAGAAAATGACGCAGACCTTTTAATCCCCATGTCCCGTATGGCTGAAGATGGAGGCCCAATGAAAATGATGCCTTCTTGTTTGCACAGTTCTGCAAACTCCGTGTTTTCCGACAGGAAACCATAGCCTGGGTGGATAGCCTAGAAACACACAACTCCAGCCATGAGGAGTGAAAAAAATCTTCCGACGCCCAAAACTTAGAAGTCTCTCTGACAAAGAACACAAGCTGCGCCATGCCACTATCCACAGTGATTATCAGACTCTACTTCTCAAGTGCATTCCTGAGACTTTCTGTCAGGGCCTTGGGGACTTGAACAAACAAACACAGGGCTCTGAAGGAACAGTTTATCTTTACAGACGCAGACATCAGCTCGTCGGAACTCTCCTCTCTTCTGGCAGTATCCTCCTCATCCTCCTGCTGCTGCTGCTGCGGCACTAAGCCCAGGACTGCAGTGCAGAAGCGTCAGTGTTTCATGTTCACCTGCACGCTGACAACAAGCCTCTGCGTTTAAACCGAACTCCCCTGCTCTCAGCTCTACCCTGAGGTCCAGCCGTACACCACAGCGCCCCAGTCTACCCCACTGCAGAGAGGTCGGCCGCCCGGACCCTCCAGTGGAGGAGGGGCCAAACTCCTCCAGAGCGCACTGCTGGTGAAAGTTCTGTCGTGTCCCTGTGGATCCAGGTTAATACAGGGACACTTACAGGTATCCTGTTCCCATTATCCACAGGAACTAACAAACCTCAAGGTCACAAACCTTGTACGCCTCTGCTCTGTGCGGCATCAAATACTGGATATCAAAGTTCAAAGGAGGTTAAAGGGGACCTGCAGTCCCAACTACTCAGACCGGTTATTAAATCTTGTTAACCAAATAAAGTCATTGACAGTGTAGAAAATTTTTACAGATTTCAAACTCAGCATAAAATAGTGAACTTTATAAAACTACTGTAAGTCTCCATGTTTGCTCACACCCCCAGTCTGGCCACAGGCAGGAGCGAGAGTTCCCTCGAATTGTGACTTGAATCGGCCCTTCCCGCTCACTAGTCACTGTCATGACTGATGTAATGTGACGGTCTAGTGAATCAGTATAGACACTTCACCGCAGAAATCTTCCAACATGTTCAGCAGGAAGAGTAAACAGATAAGTAGTATTTGTCTGTAAAACCGTCTTGAAATTGAGAGCAATATTTCTATTGGAATAAAAGAGATGTATTCACAAGCCTGCTCGTTTACAATTTAATAGGGCCGCTTAATGTCACCGGAATGTTTGTTGCTCCGTTCTGAATCACAGAATATGGCCCTGCAGCATCCTTGGAAATTTTTTATCGATTTTGTTATTATTAAAAGGTATTAAAAGTTACTGTGTGTATTTTACTTTTATTGCGAGTTGAAATACACTCCTCAATACTGATTCTTTCTAACCCCAAAATTTAAATTGTTGCAGTTCCTTTAACGACACGAATCTTCCTCCTTTTGATGTGTGCCCATTTCTTCCCAGCACCTCGAAGGCATACGGACAACCTCCATTCTAAATTGTTTGGATCAGACTGTACCTGGGCGCCACACTTCCTGGCAACATCGATGACCTTTTCCATGGATAAATAACTCTGCTGGGATGCAGCCGGACCAATGTGATAAGCTTCATCTGCCTGGAATGAATTAAACATTAAACCACATGCATATTAAAATACTTCCAGCAGGCCCTGCAAAACATTGCTGTTACATTATTTTAAACACGTCAAGCGGAGTCCAGCCCAGCCCCACCTGCACGGCGATCCGCGCCGCTCCAGATTTTACAGAAACCAGCACCAGACCCTGTATCCTCCAAGCTCATCATTGTACCTTACTGTGAATAAACCTTCAAGGGCAGACATACTCAGTTACAACATGGAAGACACTGCCTTTTTGCTTCTCATAACTGAATGCAAACTGGATGGAATCAGACTATCTCGGTGTGAACTAGCACTCGGACACTGAACCGCGCACAGCTGTGGTTACTGTAAGTGCTGTCGTGCGCTGGGAGCCGACAGCCCCTCTCTCACCATGGCCACGTGCATCGCGTGTCGGTCGGCGTCGCTGTACACGGCCACAGACTGCAGCCCCATCCTCTTAGCTGTGCGCATCACGCGGCAGGCGATCTCCCCCCTGTTGGCGATGAGGATCTTCTCCACCCTGACCCTCCCTGCACCAAAGAGCAGCCGTTAGCAAAGCCGAGACTGCAGAAGGGCACACAGCCCTGCGCCCCAACCCACACCAGACCGAGGAGAAGCCAACATTAGTGCTGCCTTACACAGCTCAGCTTCATCAACTGGAACACCAGTCCCAGTAAAATGCATCAGGTCTGTCAATGCTCAGCTCCAGCCCCTGAGGTGTGTGAGAGGGTATACCATGACGCACAATCCTGGATCCTTACCGAGAGATGAACACCTCCTGGGGCTCGTGGTCCATATCCATTTCCTGGTGAGGAAGAGACAGCTGATTACAGAGAGCTGATTACTTCTGCAAAGGAGCTTGAAAATGCATTTAGACTGAGCAGCCCCACCTGGGTAAACACTGAATCTTTATTTCCAAAATAACCAGTGAGCTCATATGTAAATATATTTCAAGGACAATGTAAGTATCAACTTTCTTCCAATGAAAAAGAATCAATAATTAAAGCACAATTACTGTTGCTAGACAATATATTCCGAAACCCAAAAATAAATGCAAATTGGTTCTGTAACTTATTGGTATTGATTTAATCAAATATTATTTCTCCCGGTTAATTAATAAGATTAAAGTTCATTCTTTTTATTGCTGAACGAACTTTATGTCCAAACAAGAAGTGATGATAACCGCGTATGTAGTATCGACCTGACATGAATTTCAAAGCAGACAGAAGTACAGTATTTTATGGGGAGACTTAGATTTTCAGGCAAATACGATGCACTAAATTTAGACACAAAGATTACACATGCACCTTCCCAATAAACAACCGTTGCTTCACTATATGACTCACTAAAGCAATGAGCCTCACTTACTGTTGCAAAACTGCTCTGACACCTTGGTAAATCTGCACTCTCAATAGGAGAGTCGCCATGTTTATACTGTCACTAGAGCTACCAGGTACCGCACACCCTGACGGCAAATACGTGCTTCGCCAAATTCGAAGTGTTACTCATTCGTGATTTATTTCAGGTCTGCCGTTCCATTTTCAAAGACGTATGAATCACGCATGCCGTACACCTTAATCTGGTCAAATAGCACACGCCACCGTGCTGGATGAGGCGTTTATACGGTGTAATCTTGTAGTTCTGTGAAGTTTGTCTCTCCGGTGGACCCGTAGAAAGGTGCAGGCTCTGCCCACCAATGACAGTGGAGGACATGGAGGGGCGTGACGTGTGAGTCATGTAGGACACACGTGTGTCTGCAGTGGGGGAAGGGGAGGGGCATGAGTGCCTTCTCAAGTCCTTCACGAAGACGGAAAGGTACCGACGTACAGAACAGAAAAACAAACCGAGGCTCCCTGCCCGTCACTGAGAATGAACTATTATTTTTATTAGAAGACAAATAAAAAAAAATGAACGGAAGCAACTCATTCTTTACTGGTGTCCAGAGCACCCGCTGATAAAGTTTTATTTTATGGGGATAATACACAGGGGACGCAAGAAAGACGCAGTTAAGGATGAGGCCATTAGCCCGTTTGGCTGCCAATAGTTACTTGATATGATGATCTAGATGTATCAAACAAGGTATCCATTTAAACTTGGCCACTTGGCCGAGCTGCTTATTCCATACTCCCACAATCCTTTGTGTAAAGGAGTGCACTTCTACATAATTTTCCACTTGTGTCCTCTGGTGTGTGGCTCACTGCTCATTCTGTAGAAGGCAGTGCCTTTGAGGATTCTGAAAAATGGTGTTGGTTCCCCTCATAGTCTCCTCTGTTCAAGAAGAAAAGGTCCAGTTCCTCCAGCTTGTCAGTGTAGGACATTCTCTTAAACCTTGAATGTATCTGGTTTGTCTTCTCTGTACTGAATCCAGAGCACTAACATTGTGCCTATGATACAGTGATTGAAATTTTATGCAATATTCCAAATAAGCCCCAACTACTGCATTGCACAATCTTAAGATAACCCCTTGATAGTAATCCTTCTCTTTTGACTGTATAGCCTAACATTTTGTTTACCTATTTATTTCCTCTGCACATCAGAAGATGTAATTGATGTGTCAACATAAACACCCAATTCTTTTTCATAAGAAGTTACTTCTAGCTCAGTTTCTCATTTTGTATTTAATGGTTTGTTTTTACGACTCGCATGCAAAACCTCGCTTGTCTTCATTAAACGTTTTCTGGTAATGTTATTAAATGTTAACCAGGTGTTGGCACTTGTGATTTTTATCTAAATCTTTTTGAATTTCACTGCATTCACTAAATCTCCTAATTTGTTTCATCCACAAACTTGACTAGTTCACCAGCTGTCCCAGAATCTAGATGACAGGTGCTAGTCAGGGACTATAGTTCAGCATTCAACTCCATCATACCCAGTCAACTGGTGACAAAGCTCAGGGGATTAGGTCTGTGCAACTCCGTCTGCATCTGGCTGCTGGACTTCCTAATCGAGAGACCACAGGTGGTGTGGATAGGTAATAAAACATCAAAACCACTCACCCTGAGCACTGGAACCCCACAAGGCTGCTGTCTGAGTCCAAGGTTGTACTCCCTGTTCACTCACAACTGCACAGCAAGACACAGCAACAACCGCATCATTAAGTTTGCAGATGACACCACTATAATAGGCCTGATCAGAGATGATGATGAGTCCACTTACAGAGATGAAGTCGTACAGCTGCTAGGGTGGTGTCATAGCAATAACCTGGACCTGAACGAGAATAAAACAAAAGAGCTAATAGTGGATGTGCGGAGACACAGGCCACACACTCACAGCCCACTCACTATTGATGGAACAGAAGTGGAAACAGTCACCAACTTTAGGTGTTTGGGAATTCACATCTCTCAAGATCTAACCTGGACTGTGAACATCATGAAGGTATCATGAAGAAGGCTTAGCAACACCTTGATTTCTTGAGGTGCCTCAAGCGATGGGGGATGCCAGTACCTGTACTGGTGAACTTCTACTGCTGCACCATTGAGAGCGTTCTCACCAACGGGATCACCATGTGGTACGGCAACACCTCTTCTCGAGAGAGAAAGGCACTGCAGAGAATGGTGAATGTGGCCCAGAAGATCATCGGTTAAACAGCTCTATGAGGACCGCTGCCATGGCAGATTTCCGGCCATCACAGAGGACAGTCACCACCCCGGGCATGAGCTCTTCTCCCCACTGCCCTCAGGCAAGAGATACAAGAGCATACGGACACTTGCCACCAGGTTTTTCAACAGCTTCTACCCACAAGCAGTGCGATTGGAGAACACATTTGGCCATGCCCCACGGACCACACCTACACCATCTACCTTATTATGATTTCTTATTTATTGCACATCTCCAGTCATTGTTTACATGTCTGCATTGTTTACATTCAAACTGTTTACTTTTTTGCTTGTACATTGTCTACTGTTTGTTTGTATATTGTCTTGATGCACTGTCTGCACTTTGTGTTTTTACACTTTTTACAATCAAGAGACTTTCTGTAAGTAAGAATTCCATTGTACCAGTACATGTACTGGTTACATATGGCAATAAAGTTCAAGTTCAAACTCAGTGGTAATAGCACAGGTAGGCAGTTAGAGTGCCTATTAGAAGAATGGAAATCAAATTAAAAAAGTAAGTTTACAATTTCATATATTATGTCTTTAGCCTTTTTGGAATATTAAGAATTTTGGATAGTATATATTAAATCCTTTCATAGCGCCCTCGGTCATGTTCCCGAATAATCAAGCAGGACAGAATGACAATCAGGCTCAGCCCAACCACAGTGGCCACCAAGATGATGGGAATCGTTCTTCTTTTCCAGTCAGCGGAGCACTCTTCCTCTGGAAGCAGAAGAGCAGCCTGTCAATCAACAGAGCTTGCACCTTGTACAAGAGCAGTGGCATGGCTCAAAAGCACTAACATGGATCCTTTTCCCAGAGCTGGGGGTGTATGTGTTACTACAGTACCCGTGGGTGTTGCTGAAAAGGCATCACTGTGAAGTGGGGGGTACAGGGGGCTTGAGATATGCTTTCAGCCAACAGCTGGAGCAGCAGAATCAGCACAATCACAGTGATTCGCCTCTGATGGGGACTTGACTCCACTGCTGGCGGGTCTCCTGGAGGTGTTACTCCAACAGACCGATGGCACTGAGAAACTGTTCTCTTGACATCGCAATGAAAATAGAATGAGCTTTGAGATACATCTTTTCTTGTAATTGTTTTTTTTCACCTCTTGGAAGGAAGGCAGGCTTTGAACTAAATGAAAAACTTAAAAGAGCTTGAGTGAATACAGAATAAAGAGTGTGTGACCTACCTTGTCCAAATCTCCCATTAGTGATGTTAAATGCCTGCATCTGAGTGTTGACAATCCTCAGGCTGAGATTCTCAGCTAGAAAGACTTCATACTGACTGTTGCATGTATAGGCATGTCCATCTGCGGTTTTAAATAGCTTCACATTGACAATTTTACCAGTGTATTCCTCACCTGGAACTGACAGTTTACAGTGAATTTACAAGAGTATTTAAAACCAAAAACTGAAGAAAAGTGAATTTCCTTACTTAATTTGCATAACAATTGTAATCTTGCGATTTTGCTATTGTTTTTCTATTTTCCTAAATCTTTAAATAGAAATACTCACTTGTGCATGAAACACAAGTAGCTGTTGGGTGCAGACTGGCTCTTATTTCATCAACATAAGAAATACTTCCTTCCTGCAAGAAACCACAGACTATTTCATTTCATATATCCAAGTAATTAAGAAAACAGGTTGCAAACCCTACAGAAAAAAAATGTTACAAGTTTTACAATGAAAAAAGTTCTCATAATACGCTGAGCACCAGGAAAAATCCAAAAATCACAATAAATTCCCAGTGTTATCAGGAAAATGACAATCTTTTTTGTAGTGGTAAAAATCACTATCCAGGTCAGTGTGTCTTATCAGCTGGGGGTCTGCTGTGAAATTACTAGGCTCCACAAACAGGAGCAATACGAGCTGCACATCTGCACTGCTTAACCTTGCAGATGCTGTCTGGTGGGTTTCTGTCCCTTTCCATCTCATTCCTCCTGTAGGTCTTTGAGCTTTAAATGTTCAGCTGGGATCCAGCCAGTGAGTGGCGTCCCAGGATATGATCAGTGAAGCGCCATACAGTCAGCTAGTATCCGTCACTGTAAGTGGAGCTCTCTGCTGACAAGTTAGTCATGCCCAGACCATCACACTCAGCTCTTCCCAAAAAGAGCCATGCCTAGTGCTGTCCCCAATTGTGGAGTCTCCTGGGACCAGCTTGGCTGGTTAGAAATTGCTAGCTGGTGAGACTGCGCTGAATCAGTCCAGCTCCTCACACACTGATGCCATGAAGGCGTTGTTCTCTCAAAGTGAGGCATATCGGCTCCTTTCTGTGCTTTTCTCTTTTCAGTTTCAGGTTTTGAAAGAAGCTAAATCACTTCATCACCAGCGCCTGATCAGCTCTTACTGATGAGGTTTCTTATGCAATAGTCAGTTGATCTTGAATGTAGGACTGCCGGTCGTGAACAATCCAAAATCTATATACTTCATTTTTATATAATCACATATGCATAGTTCTTTAGCTGTTCAGAATTCCCTTTATTTTGCATATTTACATTAATTTGATTCTGTACAATTTAGTCTAAGTCTAAATTCTGATTCTCTTGATTTAACTTCTCTTGTCTTCATTGTTCTCATGTGGATTTAACATTTTAACCGTGCTTTACTAACCACAGTATAATAAAACCATGATTTACCATGGTACACATTTCTAAGGGGTTACTAGAGTCTTGCATATAGTACAGGTAAGCTGGGAGGATAGTGCAGGGAAACTGGGGTGTATTAGCACACAATTATCAAGATAATCCAGTTCAATCGCACTTTCACACAGATAGCAGATGGGAAACCGTTTATTATTTACCCACAGCCTCTGTTCTCACCTATCTCAAAGACCGCAAATTTGATCATGAGTCACTCTGACCAGAAACCCTACATGCAAGTGAGTCTGCAAGACAGCCCTGGAACCTAACACTTCTCACCATCAAGGAGCTCAGAGAGACCCTCACACTATCAGAGCATCCTTTTGGTGTTGCATCAGGCAAGAATCTCAGATTCTTATCGAGAGCTTTTTGGCATCAAGTATAAGCATGACGAAACTTAATAACACACTGTTTGCAAATGGTATTAAGGTAACACCTACCTTGACAAATGTGAAATTAACGAAGCCCTCACTAAAGCTCAGTAAGAGCCAGGCTGTGCTTTGCCCACATTGTCCTTGTGCTTGTGTGGAGGTGGGGCTGATGTTAAAATAGGCAGTTTTCTGTGGAACAAGGAACTGTGTGTAAGAAATTGGCATTATAATTGGCACAGCTGAATATTAGAACCATAACTCAATCAAAACAATTGTGTTTGTCCATAGTGTTGTCAAAATAGTATAAAAGGGTGTATTTATTATACACTTTAGAAATATGAGGGTTCTCCACCATCATCTCTCCTCCCATCCTCCCAGACAGAGGAGTTGTGTTCTGTGGCTGGAGGTGACTCTCTAATAGGCCCCTGTGTGCACAGCAATGCACTCCTGTGTGCACAGTGGTCAGGCAGTCTCCCCAAGAACGTCGAGTCTTTAAGGGAAGTACCGCAGGCTGCCCTGCTACGGCATCAAAGAGAATATTCTGACCGAGCACTTCTGTCCACCATGAATTTTGTCTCCCTCAGGGGTCTCTCTAAATCTAGGATTTCTTAATCCAGTTCCAGAGGTCAGCATTCGGCACTGCAGGTCTCTTCAAGTAACCAGTACCAGTAGAGCTGGACGACCTGTAAACTGCTCTGATTAAGACAAAGATAGGTGCTGGAATGCAAACCTGTAAGACTTGGTCCCTCCAGGGAAGGGTCTGAGAACCATTTATGTAGATGACTGTGGCACAGTGACATGGTCGTTGCATACTGTATTTGGTTGGGTAGTTAGTTTGATTCCAGACATGCTACATTTTGACTTCTCTCTGTACATAGAGTATACAGCTCTACAGCAGGGGAGTATAGCTCTACAGAAGGAGTATATAGCTCTACAGCAGGGGAGTATAGCTCTACAGTAGGAGTATATAACTTTATAGCAGGGGTGTATAGCTCTACAGTAGGAGTATATAGCTCTGTAATGGGGATGTATAGCTCTATAGCAGCATTACTCTACATCAGGAGAATATAACTCTATAGCAGGAGAAACACCCAGCAGACCTTGTTCTTTTTCACCATGAACTGTGCTCCCAGGCGTGCCTTAATGCACACTTGGTGCTTGCTGTCGGTGACGGTGTAGTCGCCTGTCAGGGGTGCGGCTGGGCGGGGGCTGAGAGTGGCTCCCGCGGAGGAGAGGGGGGGTACGGGGCTCTGGCTGGAGACGGGGGGATGCCCGGCTGCTGGAGGCGTTTCCTGCTCGGCCGAGCGAGTAGCTGTGTGGCTCCCCGAGGCTGCAGCCTCCGAGGGGGGCCGACTTCCTGCCGCTGGCCTGGGGGCGGGGAGGGGGCCTGTATCTGACCGCACGTCTCCTTGCTGTGTGAATCCACAAGCATGTGCTGCACATACAGCTGAGGAGAAACAGAGAGCTTTTACACGAAATGACACAAGACTGAGCAGAGGTCTTCATGATATTAACAGTCTCTTTACTGCAGCTTATCATTCTGAATCAAACTGCACAGCATTGAATTCTCATGGTACTCCAAGTGACAAAAACTTCTAAGCATGCATAAAATACATGGAAACCAAGGAATCTTAAACTAAAGTATCAATATTTTTATATGTAAAAAAACATTATCTTTTGACAGTTAATTATAAAGCAGGGTAAAACAAAGTCTAGGTATGTCCAGAAATATTCCACAATCAGCAGCACACTGTGAAGTAAAAAATATCAATTCCTTTTAAACATATCTTTGTAACTTTGTAAAATGGCAACACCAGCACAGTGTAGAAAGTTCTATGTATCCCGGTAATCACAAACAGCTGTAAATCGGAAGTGGTGGATCCGAGTGTAATTTGCCATTGCTTTTCAAATGCCCCGTACTAATCAAGCAATGCAGCAGAATGAAGGAAAGGTGCCTGAACAGGGCAGCCCCTGCAGACTCACCCACTATAATGAAGACATGCAGCAGAGGCTCCATTGCAACCTCTGGCCAGCACCTGGAATCTCCTCGTGCCCTTGATCCCGCAGGGCGCAGGGTGCAGAGGTGCTGCCTTTGATGCTATGAGAAAGGTTCACAGTAAAATTAGGAAGTGGTGCTGAAGGAGGAGCGCAGATGTTTCAAGGAGCTGGTTGCCTGAATGTTGCTCTTGCGATAATGTTACTACGAGTGGCAGTAGTTCTGCAGAGAAGTAGTGGCGTCACTAGTGGCGAAAGAAGAATGAGTCAGATCAGTTAGTTGCAAGGTGGCAATGAGCAGGAGCCTTTTTTAATTTTTTCGCAGCTTAACAATCCCCCTACTGGTCCCCACCCTGCAGTCACAGGATTAGTAATGATCAGAGCACATTGTATCTGTAGGAGTCCTACTGGTTGGGTAGATGTAGTAGAAGTAGGAGTATTTTCAGGAAATTTAAGATGACAGACTCAACCCAAAGGACTAATTCAAGACCAACAGAGTAATTGAAACCAAAGGTTATGGTGAAAATTTCACCAATTGTTCTTGTTATACTTGTAAGGATCGGGGGCCAGGACAGGAACTTCAGACCAAATAAGTTACTACAGCAGCCCTGGGACTCAGGGATGAAGAACGTGGTGTCCCTTATCTGAACCTGTATGGGTAGTTACCTCCCTCCTAGTGGTTCTAATGAGGCCCTTATGTCTATGTTCTGATACAGCTACCTGCCAAGTAGCTCCATCAAGGCCAAACTAATATCTTCCGAGCCTTCGCACAGGAATGGGTATGATATAGTTTTCATATAATTTTCATATAACCCCAGGCCTAAGCAGGAGCAACTCAGAAGAAGGACAAACACGTATTGCAGGACATAAGAGTGATATAATGATAACTAAAATGATCAAAAAACATTAATCAGACAACACATTAAGTAGGGAGCTGCGTCAGGCTGCAAAGGAACAAGTGAAGGTTAATTCCTGGTGGGAAGAGAAAAAAAGAAACACAATGTTTCAGCTGTGGAGCCTTCTTCAGGTGTGTAGAAACCCGAAATGTACATGCCTGAAGAAGGCTCCACAGCCGAAACGTTGTGGTTGTTTTCTTCTATATACAACAAATCAATATTAGTATGAATCAATACTACTTCAATCAATATTAAGAATATATGCAATGATTAGAAAATGAGCTACTACAAATTCCAGTCCCTTCACACACATGTGGTGTGGAACAGGCATGTCTCAGGGGAGACTGAGGAGCTGGAGGCAGACTGCTCTGACCCACCTGCCTGCAGCCACTTGTGCTAAAACACGTCGCCTGTCCTGCAGGTTCGGAGCTGACTGGAGCAGAGACGTGCCACTAACAGATGCCACAGGGGGCGCTGTGCCGCTGGGCATCATCTCCCCCCACCCTCAGTGACGCTAGTGACATTGGCTGGGCTCGAACCCGAGATCGTGAGTGCCTCTACTGGGCTGGCAGAGTCTCCACAGGGAGAGGCTCTGGAATTCCTTAAGAAATGACTGAATGGTAGTCTTTGGTTAATGAGATAAAAGATAAGATCTAAATGAGAAGAATGAGAGAAAGTCTCTTCTTGTCTGTTTTTCTCGTGTCGAAAAACCCTGCTGCTCAATAAGAAAGGTAAATGTTTGGCACAGTCAAAATTGTACTTGACATTAAAAATAAGGGGCAGAAAGCACTCAATCTTCGACAGGTGTGGATTTGAACAAATTAATTAAAGGCATTTGCCATGTCTCTTAGAACAGTTCCTTTCGATACATTACACTTTAACTGCTTCATACAATAAAGGAGCTTATTAAGCTGTTATAACCTTGTGATTGCCAGTACTGTCCTGATTTTGCTAAAACTACACACACAAGATGGTAAAAAATAGCAAAAGCAAACAGAATAATGTATTTGGCATTCACCCTCCAGGAAGTAATATTTAACTCTGCCCCCCCCCTCACTTGGAGAAATGGAGAATGACCGTTAATTGAGAAAGGCCAACAGTTATTTAAGTATTATTACAAAAATATCTTAGTATAGCCTATTTTTATCTTATTTTTTTAAAGGTCATGTTATTCAGTGGTACACACTGATATTCAAACCCTTGAAGGAAATGTCTTCAATAATGAGTAAAATAAAAGATAAAAGTAACATTGTTTTTTTTAAGTCTAATTAGAAAACTAGCCTTTGACTGGCAGGTTCCTGTAGTTACAGTATGTGACAACACTTGAGTGTTAGATGAGACACGAGGAGTATGACCTACTGGACAGTTATATCCCAGCATCCAGAACAGATCCGGGTTCTGCCGCAGGTGAGCCAGATACTACAAGCAAACGAGGGAACAGGGTCCAGAGTATCTGGACAGATAAACATTTCTTCAGTTCAGGACTGTCAGAGCAGCTCTGTACTCTGGAAAGATCAATGTGCTTACTTAAGCAAAATCTATGAATGACAGAATTAATAATAGACATCCATTCCAGCAGAAGTCTTGCCTTAACTGGAACATTTGTGGACTGCGATGGCCAAGCCAATTTGCAAAGCTTTCGGGAAAACATCATTTACACCGCTGACTTGATGCACTACTTCTGGGGTCTTGTACTGTGAGTCCAAGTGGTTACATGTGTTTAAGAGAGCCCCCGTGTTGGCGATGAGGTAACCCATCTACACCCTCAGCTTTTCGGTTGAAAGGACAGAAGCACAGGCAGACAAGTCGTCTGCGGCGCACAGGGGACTCTTCCAGAATGACCAGTGCAACATGACTCAGGGGACTCAAATGGAAGTTAAGAGGAAGTGCTTTTGAAACAGAGAGCATGAGGCACTTATTCACACAAAGGGTTGTGGGAGTGTGTAACAGGCCACTCAGCCATGGCGATGGCAGTGATACCCAGGCTTCTCTTTCTGGAACAGATTGTTAGATCAACGAGGTGCTAGTAACCATGTGAGCTGGACAGGTGGAATGGCCTCCTCCTGCTGGTAACCTTTCTCATGTTCTTAAAATTATTGTTTAAACGGCTTTGTAACCAATTATAGTAAACAAACAAAACGCTGCACATGTGAAAGCATGTCTGCATCGTCCACCCATCCATTTTCTAATCTCTTTGTCCCATACAGGGTCAGGGGGAGAACTGGGGCCTACGCTGCTCAGCTGTCTGTATCTTTCTAGAAGGGAAAAATTCTTAAAACAGGTGACATACCTGTAGCTGGGACAGCACTATCTTTGTAAATCCCTGACTTTTGAAACCAAAATATTGATTTTTAAAGTTTGCAAGCCTTGAGTGACCGAGGAGCACTAATAAGCAAACATTTGCATTCTGCCCTGGCCAATCGCTGTCCGATATCTGCATTGACCAGGTTGGGACATCTTATTTGAACAGGTTTGTTTGGATGAGTGGGCTGTATTTGCAGTACCAGGGGTTATATATACTGTAATTATCAGTCAGGCATCTCTGAAATGGGAGTCTGAGTTTGGAGAGGACTTGCACTGGGTACCTCTCTGTCCACACTGCTGTGAAACCCTTCCACTGCTCATGTGCTTTCACAATGTTAAATATCAAGCTTTTAGCAATTTTTTCAGTCTCTTTACTGATTTGTCTTAAAGGGGCTCGTTCCGAAAAGATTCAAGCTTTCTGTGATGACAAAGAGGTTGAGCTAGCTGTGGATCATGCCATTTTAGAATATAATAAGAACCTTACCGGGGGCAACCAGCTTGCACTCTTCCAAATCAGTGAAGCCTGGAAAGTAAGTAGACGTTTTTGTCTCTTTGTGATACACTGCTGGGGATGTCAGTTTGAACAGAGTTTGAACTCTGTGCATTTTGTTAACATGCTTCAAAGCAGAATTCTAGGTGGTTTCATATGAAAAGTCAGTTTCCGCTGTGTTTCTGTTTGCGTGTTCATCTGTCTAACTGTCTGGTGGGCTTTTGAAGTGTATCAGTGGTGGGAAATGAAATATCTCACAGTTCAAGCAGGTAGCTGCGTCAGCATGCGTAGGTTTATTCCATGCTGAACAAGTAAAGGTTTATTCCATGCTGAAAAGAAAAGAAACAGAACATGTCAGCTGTGGAGCTTTCTTCGGGTGTGAGAAAGACAGAAAAGTCAGCAGAGATTATATAGAGACATCTAGAAAACGATTTAGGGGAAGGCATAGTGGGTCACTGCAGAAATAGGCTGAAGTATTACAAGTAGGCTGCTGTGTTGACAGCAGCTGAACAGTGCTCTCGGCTACTTCTAAAGGACAGAATTATCATACAGTAAAACCCCAATGACTTTGTTTTTTTGTCAAAAGGCTTTCTTATTATGTGTACTATTGCTTTCTGAAAGCGTTTAGCTGGAGAAAGTTGTTCAGTTACTACTTTGTGAAACTTTCCTACTGTATGTTCTCAAACTTCTTTACAAAATCCATGATCCTGAAAATGGAGGCTTGAGTTATCAAATGATTTTACTGGCCCTGCAAAAGTTAGACTGTGATACCCACATCCCAGAAATCCACTGAAATGGATCCATTATACTAATACTACAGGTCCAGGTCCTTCACAATAACACCCTGGTGAAGTCAGAGGTGGGAACACGATGTTAAAAGCCTGACAAATCCAGCATTCTTGTAAGACTCTGATTTTATTGTCAGATAGTTTGAATTAGTAAATTAGGGCATTGAGCTGTGAGTGACTGTTGAATTTCTCTGGGCGCCCGCATTGTGAGGGTTAAACGGTCTCTCTCCTGCTTGTGCCCAGGAGGTGAGTGACACGGGGACAGAGATCTCGCTGCTCTTTCTGGTCAAAGAGTCTGACTGCCCTGTGGGGAGCGACAAAGTCTGGAAACAATGCGACTATGTGGCAAACAGCCAGCTGAGGGTAAGTCAGCTCCTGCAGTGAGCTTCTGTGGTTGAGGAAGAATGTTCCAGCAGAACTTTGTTTTAATTTTTTTTTAATTTCCATTTCCCAGGCCCCCTGGCCATGCACTGCTACAGTTGTAATAAATCATCAGGAAAAATCACAGGATGTTACGTCAGTGAAATGCGTTGCCTCTGGTAAGACTGAATCAATTGATTAATCAATTGAATAATAATTAAGTCACACAATGGGGGCATTACAGTCAGTTAAGGATCTTTGGCTGGGTGTCAGCTGAGTCACTGCTCACAGACGAGTTGCCCTGTGAAGCTTAGGGTAATATTGTCAGCAGTGTCAGAGTGGTTTACTAATCTATTACAGCTGGACTTTAATATTATTTAAAGTCATCGTTCTGCTTCCAGCTGAAGAAACGTTTACCAATAAAAAAGGTTTATTTCCCTCCAAAATACATTTTGAAAGATTGCCCTTCAAAACCTTGAAAGTATCATAACTAAAAATGAACAGGAGAAGATATGACGACTAATTGATGCCAACAACAGACAGCAGGTATTGCAAGTAATTACTGCCAATTGGAAATATAAAGAAGAGATGCAATTGATACATTGATCGAGCATAATTCCTTGCAATGTTGCTGAGTTTCTGATATTATAACGTTCACAATGTCTCCGTTATTTTGTAAATTAGTTGACAAAGGTTTCTAGTTCAAGTATGTTTTGAGATAATTAAATGAGACCAAAAAAATCAGTTTGAATCCTCTGTTTTTTTCAGTCGAACCGAATATTGTTCCTGAATTTTATCTGTGTGCTGGGTGCCCTCATGAAATAGACTCCAACAGCGACTCAGTGACAGAAATACTGCAGTTAGCGATGGAGAAACTGAACGCCCAGGACAATTCTTCACACCACTTCATCGTGTCCGCAGTGACCAAGGCTGTTTCACAGGTTGGTCTCCACCCTGTTGAAGCTCATGAACAATACAACTACACGTTACAGATTACTAGTCTATGTCTCACAGTATCAAGGGCACAAAAGTCTAGGATGTTATGCTATTGATTCATGTTCCTTTCAATTATTATTTTAACAGCAGCTACAACAATAAAATTCCAGTTTAGAATTTCCCAGACACACTCCTTTGACCCTCTCTAGAGCCAAAGTGAAATCGGGCCTCCTGTGACCTCCATAGCCATTCTGAAACACAGGCCACATGCTGCAACAGCTCTTTGCTCCGTACTCGCTGACTCTCTGAGCCCAGGCCTCGCTCTCTCATGATGCAGACTAAAGCTGGACTTCTTGTGATCGTCCGGACAGCTGCCTCTGATCTGCACGTTGCCTGTTGCTCAGGGTGACTCCCTCAATGCTTCCTTTCAATTCTTTAGGTGGTCAGTGGGATCTTGTATAACATTGATTTCGAAATTCGCCTCAGCAACTGCTCCAAATCCGAAGTGGTGAACATAACAAGTGACTGTCACCCTGACGAAGACAGAAACGTAAGTGACATGGCCCAGTGTGCATGTCTCAGTTAACCAAATATGCAAAGTTAGCGCTATCTTTATTTTATGCAAAAGAACACATTATGAAACACATATGTTAAAAACTAATGTATTGTAATGGAACTAAGACCTTAAACAGGTGTTTCGGTAGAATGAATTGAATTATTGGTTGAATTTTCTAAATTAATCTCTACACAGTTAGATCATCTGGTCCATTAGCATTGAAAATCGTGGTCACATCCAGATCGTCGTGGTCACAGTATGTTTTTTGCCATCAATGACTACAGTTAATGTCCTTTCAGGCCCTGCAGCATGTGCTCGCTCACTGCATAAACAGGGCTCTTATTCAGAGTGCTCATAACGATCTGACAGTTTCAGCAAAGCCCCGCCCACAACCCACCCAGAGCTGGCATCAGATGTCATGACTCCCTTACCGAGTCCGGGCGGTAGCAGTGAAGGGAGGTGCATGATTGAAAAACGTGTAAGAGGTTCTACAGCAGCTCAATGTAACAGGTCAGCTTGTGAGCCTGTCTCTCCACCTGTAACCTCTGCCCTTTCTCGTCTGCCCTCAGGTTTTCGCCCAGTGCAATTCTTCCGTTGTTGTTGCACCTTGGAGGCAAACAACTGACCCAACTGTGACCTGTGGACCCCAAGTGCATGTACCTGTAAGCATTTACATTTATTATCTGGGGAAGATGATGAAGCGGTTTTAGTGATGCTTTTTACAGCCACCTTTACATACATCTCATGACAAAAACAGCAAAGCGGCTGAATTTGTAGCACAGCTAGAATAAAAAACAAGCCCCTGGGAAAGTCGTGTGTAACATTTTTTCTTAAACTTTTTGCCGAGGTCACGTGTAATAGTTAAATCGTGCTTTTTAGAATCTGTCTTGCTTTATTGTTTGTTCATTCATGCTAATTTTTAGATATTCTTTGTGAAAACTAGTGCTCAATATGATTCCTGTGCAACACTAGCAATTTTTAAATCCCACTTGGTGATTAAGTTGCTGAATGATGAGAAACATTCTCAGCATAGCTTGTGAACTTTCTATTTTTTATAGAACACCTTCGCCAGGAGGCCCCCTGGCTGGTCTCCTTTCCGAACTGCAGCTGTGGCTATAGACGGTGCCCGGCCTGTAGCACAGCCTCTCCCAGGGCGTCTCATGCAGCAGGATGTGCCCATGATACGCCTGGATCGTGGGCTTCACTCCGGGCGTGGACACAGCCCAGGCCATGTACAGGGTCCTGGACAGAGTCACAGCCGTGGACAGGGACACGGACAGGGACACGGACAGGGACACGGACAGGGACACGGACAGGGACAGGGAAAGGGACACGGACAGGGACACGGACAGGGACACGGACAGGGACACGGACAGGGACAGGGACAGGGACACGGACAGGGACAGGGACAGGGACATCAAGAGGAATTTCCACCGTTCCTGCTGCAAGATCCTGATGTGTCTTCTGAAGAGTCTTCGGAAGCTACAGGAAAACCCCCTGTCCTGGCCACAGCAGAGTCCCCTGTGCTGGTGGTCGAAAGTGCTACGCAGGGCTCTGGCCCAGGACCGGTGATCGGTCAGGACTTAACGGAGGCAGGTGGTGTTCCACTGGGGTCAGCTCCCATTCCAACGAATCCAACGGCTCCGACGACTGGTCCTGCAATCTCGCTGGGGTTCCCCCTGCGTGAGACTCCGTCCTTCCACTGCCCCTCCAAGCCATGGAAGCAAGAGCCCCCCCAGACGAACCCCACATCGCCTCCTCTAAATCCCCCCTCCAGCTTCGACGACCTGGACTTGTTGCCCTAAATAAGTCCCAGAGGCTTCTGTCACTAGACCCTGATGTACAGTAGGTACTGTGCATACAATTAAATGCTTTCCTACGTTTATGATGCAGTACTAAATCATCCCAGAAACATAAAGGAAAAGAAGACCCGTGCCCAGGACTATATTTTATGACGTACTGCTATTTCACTCTTATTTGGCTATGGTGGATGTAATTTACCAGTGTTTGAAAGTTATTAAAATACACAGTAAATACCAAAGTTGTTGTCCTTTATTTCTAAAGGAACTCTAAAATCCACACAAAACAAAAGCTTTTCATTTCACACTTTGACCTTATTTTCAGTGTGTTTTGAAAGACCTGTGCTTTTGAGCTTTAATCAAAATAGTTAAAAACATCTTTAATGTATAATTATTATTATTAATTTATATGACTGTTATGATATTTAAAAACATTGTAAACTAGAAAAGCACTGAAGAAAGGTTTCCCTTCACTCTGGAGAGTGAAAACTTAAACAACATAATAACAGTTACAAATGAGAGGAGGTCTCCTGCGATTTAAAGGTTCTGTTCCCTTTAGTATAGTAATTATTGATAAAAAACATCATCATCATCTGCTTATTCCTGGTGAAGGGCTGCAGTGCTAACAGGCTGCGCAGGGCAGGGCAGACTAGACCCCTTTTTCCCTAGCAACAGTCTCCAGCTGCTCCTGGGGGATTCCCTGAGAGACCTACTCCCTCCAGCGAGCCTGGCCGTGCGCAGGAGACGGCCAGGGTGCGTCCTCACCACAGGCCCAGGACACCTCAGCTGGCTCCTCTCGATCCCGGGCGGCAGCAGCTCGACTCCCGCAATCCCATTCTCCCTCTCACCGCCCCGACACTTTGATAAAAAGTACAAAATAAAAACACACTTAACTGTTTCCCTTGATTATATACATAATATATATAGTTCCACTGGGTAGCTAGGTCAGCATGCGTAGGCTGCAAAGGAACACGTAAAAGGCTCCACAGCCGAAACGTTGTGCTTTCTTTCTTCCCCTTTCAGCATATTACTTGTTTGTAAATATATATACAGTAGTTCACAGCTGCTGGCAGAGGTGCCACTGGCAGCGCAGGCTTTTGCCTTCGGGGCGTTTGGGTGTACGACCATACGACAGAGACACCAGCTGTGGGACTGGAGGCCCTTTAATCCAAAACCTCAGAGACGAGAGAGCCAGGCCAGATCCAACTCTCTTTTTCAAACACCACCAATTTTAATCCACCGCCTACTCACAGGAGGGCGAAAGACTCGCTAATGAGCCTACAGGCCCCGAGACATCGTGCGTATCGGCTGAATACCCTGGTTAAAATTCAAGGTAATTCTGTAATCTAACTATTCCGATCAAGTCGCAGAGCTAAAATTTAAAAACTGGAGACCTCCATTAACTATTACTGTACTTTTCAAATAATTATTCGGACGTGTGATCAGCATTGTTTTGTTTTATTTTCTAGTTGCGTTTAACTTCAAGGTTGATTTTGCTTGTATACACATAATAACACACAAATAATACAAAAAGTTTGAAACTTTCCCTGTGCCCCTGTAAATTACCTAGTTTCTGGAAAACACCTGGTACACCGCTGGCCCACTTACGACTACTAGCGGCGAGACCCATGACACTTCACTTCCTGGAATGCAGCCAATGGGAAAGCAGTGTCCCAGAACTGTGGACGGAACTTCCGGTGTCCTCATATGCAGGGGCTTTCGGGAGACCCCGTAGTGAGCCGCATAGCCCTTTTCTTTTACTGCAATATCCTTCCGCTGAGTTATATAGTCCGAAATGCATTTTGTTAAAAAAAAAATATTACCTTATATTCACAACGCATCATAGGAACGTACACGCATTTCTGTTCTCTGTGTATTTATTATGGGGCTTCGGGAGTGAGAGGTGGGTGTTTGTCGGGGGGTTTCCCCCTTGCCGGAAGCTGGGGTCCGGCTAGATAAAAAGATGAGCGGGTGAATGCCTCCTCCTTTTCAGTTGAGCGCTGAAGCTTCGGCCGGATCATGTCAGGCGGTTCTGCGGATTATAACAGGTAAAAATCGACAAGAAAAAACAGAACCAGCCGGTCTGATATTAAAATATAACCATCTTTTATTATTTCGTGTTCGTGCTGCTTCTCGGTATGCCGAGGTGTAGCGGTTCCTTCGTCTTGGAACGTTTTAAGCGTACTAGATGGAGAGGCGCCCGTGCCGAACTGGGGCTCTGGAAACGCCTGTCGGGATGTGGGAAATATGTTTCGTGTAATCGTGTCCGGCGGCTGTGCAGCCGGAACACCGAGCTGTAGGCTTTTTTTGTGCGCTGTCGGGCTTATGTGGGTTTAGCGAGGGCGAGAGGGGGGCGCTCGGCGAGCTGCCCACCCAGTTTCGGGCTAGGCCGTGATTTTTTTTTCTCTCCCCCTCCGTGTGGAGGGGAGCCCACGGCGATCTCTGGCTCCGGGCCCTCGGCGTGCTACTGGGCGGGAGCGCCTTGTGCCTGCCGGTGGCCTGGGGCCGTGAGCCTCCGCCGGTCCGCCGATGAGCACTTCTGTAATGGAGTCGTGTTCCCCGCTCCCGCCCTGCCCGGCTGCTTACGCCGCGGGCTCGACGGCGGTACAGTGGAGTAACGGGTGGGAGACGCTCGGACGCAGTGAGGTGATGGCCTACCATCTTTCGGGACTGACCAGTAATGGAGACACCCTTTTTGCTGCTGATCACTGCCGTCCGAGCCGTCCATTCCACGTGGCCGGGGTGGGGGCCCCCGGTGGGCTCGCCTTGGGGGGTGCCCGCACCACTTCTTGCCGTACAGGGCCCGAGTCGAGCCCCTGTGTCTGCTTAGCAAGGCCTGGGCGAAACGGAATCCCGGGTTGAAAGTTCGCAGTCTGCCTGGACCGAGTTGCTGGAATTCGCTGACGTTTCGCTCCCACCCTCTTGGTTTTCGCAGCTCTAGAGACAGAGACCATGGCGGCCCGGAAGGAATGGAGCCTGATGGTGTCATCGAGGTGAGAGTCCGAGCGGCGTGTAGGAGCGGCTCGTTTCGGGTGTACGACTTGGCACACGTGGGCTTATCATGTCTGCCTCTTCCTACAGAGCAACTGGAATGAAATTGTGGACAACTTTGATGACATGAACTTAAAAGAAACGCTCCTCCGTGGTATTTATGCCTATGGTTTTGAAAAGCCATCTGCCATTCAGCAGCGAGCAATCATTCCTTGCATTAAAGGTAAAATGTCCAGTGTGTCACTTCTGCATATTGCTGGGAGGAGTGAAATGATGGTATTCCATCTTTCGGGACTGACCTGGAATGGAGATAACACTTCTTACTGATCACTCTGACCAAGACACTGGTTGAAACTTCTTAAGAGATTGTATGAGATTCAGAAATACCAGATAGGTTTAAATCACACTTTTAAAGCAAGGGGGAGTTCAGGTGCCTTTGTGGAAGTGTGGGGAGCTATGGTATGAGTGCCCCTCTAAGAAGCACAGTGCTCACGAGGGACACTAAAAGTGAGCCCCCTAAGGTTTTAGCACCATCAGAACTGGCATATCAGCTAGTAGGTGAAATTCAAATCCTCAGCAAGTTGGTGCTGATGAACTTGTAACTTTTGTTACTAGATAAATATTAAATTGTACCCTTAAAATGTTCTACAAAAGTTGATCAAAGCTTATTGCCTTGTCTTTTTCAGGCTATGATGTCATTGCTCAGGCCCAGTCAGGAACTGGCAAGACGGCCACCTTTGCCATCTCCATCCTGCAGCAGCTGGAGATTGACCAGAAGGAGACGCAGGCTCTGGTCCTGGCTCCAACCAGAGAGCTGGCTCAACAGGTATGCCGCACCTGAGGACTGAGAGAATACAATGTGGCACAGTAAACCAAGGCAGCATGTTTGGATGGTCTTCCAAAAGAAGAGGTACTAATTTTTCTTTGGGAACAAGTAATAGGTTTATTCCATGCTGAGAAGAAAGAAAGCACAGCGTTTTGGCTGTAGAGCCTTCCGAAACGTGCTTCTTGTTTCAGCAGGGAATAAACCTATTACTTGTTCCTTTGTGGCCTGTGCATGCTGATGCAGCTACACACCTGAACTATTTTTTGTTCAGCCTATTGGTACTGTTCAGGACTCTTCATTTCTTAATGTGAAAGTTAATGTAAAAATTCTAATTGTTTTGCAGGATAAGTTACAATACAGCTGTGAAGTGCTCTATTGTCGTTCCCCCTGCAGAAAGAAACCCGTTTCATACTATCCCTGACTGTCCTGTCTTGTTGACTGGCAGGGACGCTTGGTCACGAACACTGTCATTCTGCTTTTGCATTTTGTGTTAACGTACATATTTAGTGTTGTTGTCCTGTAGTTCTGACACGGGATTCTTGGTTTTCTGTCAGATTCAGAAAGTAATCCTGGCTTTGGGTGACTACATGGGTGCCACATGCCACGCCTGCATTGGGGGCACGAATGTGAGGAATGAGATGCAGAAGCTGCAGGCGGAAGCCCCCCACATTGTTGTGGGCACCCCTGGGCGGGTGTTCGACATGCTGAACAGGAGGTACCTGTGTAAGTATCTGCCCTTGATGGGCTCTCTTGCAGGGAAGAGGTGGTGAGCTAGTGTTTGGAACTGCGCTCTAGAGGAGAGAACTATTATTTTAAAAAATTATCACTGCAGTATCTTGCACATAAATAGAAATATTTAAAGGGGAGTGACCTTGAACTAAAATGTTCTTTGGTTAAACAGCTCCTAAGTGGATCAAGATGTTTGTTTTGGATGAAGCTGATGAGATGTTGAGTCGGGGATTCAAGGATCAAATCTATGAAATTTTCCAGAAGTTGAGCACAAACATCCAAGTGAGTGTTCTTTTAGTGTTCTTTCAGTAAACTGGGTGACACAAATTCACAAAGAACTGCATTTAATAAGTATGGAAGACAAATTATAGCACTTTTATGCTGGTGCTTTTCTGACAGTCTTCACAAGAGCCATGGATACTGTTCCATGTTTGATCCCCCCAGAAAAGTTATGCCATTTGCACACTTGGAAACATGATTATTCAGAAATGGTTTTCCTTGTGGGCATATTGGCCATAATTGTAGTTCCAGTATTTTTGGAATACCTCTGTTGGAGGTGGGATAGTTTGGGAACAGTAGGTGAAGACTTTGGTTCATCTGGCGTATTCCACTTTTATGTGGAAGTCTTCCTTACAAAAGAACTGTGCTAAAACTGTGAAATCCATTTAATGGATTTGACAGTAATGCTAGCAGAGTATAAACGGGAAGAAGAGTATTTGCACTGTACTGCAAAAGAGACTTGGTTGGACCTCTTTCTTAATGTCCAGTGTCCATGTTCTCAAGGTCCAGTGCTACATTCCTTGCTTGCTTGTTTGGAGACTCGATTCTAAGAAAGCGGTTATGGCAATAATGTGACATTTTACAGGTCGTGCTTCTCTCGGCTACCATGCCAGCTGATGTGTTGGAGGTGACCAAAAAATTCATGCGTGACCCAATCCGTATCCTCGTGAAGAAAGAAGAGCTTACCTTAGAAGGTATCAAGCAGTTCTACATCAATGTAGAAAGAGAGGTGGGTGTTATACTACAGACTGCACTGCGTTGTGCTATGTAAAGTGGTGGTTGTGGAGGGGAGTCCCCAAAGCGCTTTGAGTGGAATGTCCAGAAAAGTGCTATATAAGTGTAAGCTATTATTATTATTAAAGTGATAACATTCCTTGCAAGTTAGCCAGCAGCCATATCACCCTGCAGCTCACAACCCACTGAAGCTATGCAGGTGTGAGCCTGGTCAGTACCTGGATGGGGGACCTCCTGGGAAAATACTAAGGTTGCTGATGGAAGAGGTGTTAGTGGGGCCAGCAGGGGGCGCTCACCCTGCGGTCCATGTGGGCCCTAATGCCCCAGAATAGTGACGGGGACACTATACTGTAAACAGGCGCCATCCTTCGGATGAGACGTAAAACCGAGGTCCTGACTCTCTGTGGTCATTAAAAATCCCAGGGCGTTTCTCGAAAAGAGTAGGGGTGTAACCCCGGAGTCCTGGCCAAATTTCCCATTGGCCCTTACCAATCATGGGCTCTTAATCCCCATCTATGAATTGGCTACATTACTCTGTTCTCCTCCCCACTGATAGCTGATGTGTGGTGAGTGTTCTGGCGCACTATGGTTGCCGTCGCATCATCCATGTGGATGCTGCATGTGGTGGTGGTGGAGGGGAGTCCCCATTACCTGTAAAGTGTTTTGAGTGGAGTGTCCAGAAAAGTGCTATAGAAGTGTAAGCAATTATCAATTATTATTTTCTGGGGATGGGGTTTTAATTATTTTTCGTTCCTTCTAGTAAAAGCACAGTGCTGAAATTGTGAGACTCAAGCCTCTTTGGTTTGGCTCTTGTGATAATGCCAGCATGAGTACATCCAAGAAGGAGAGCAAGTGCACAGCATTGGAATGAGACTAGGATGGACCTCTTTCTTAATGTCCGGTGTCCTCTGTCTTAAGATTCTGTGCAACACTTTGGATTTAGAGCTTGTCTTTTTTTTTGCTATACAAATAAAATCAGGTTTTTACTTTGGGATTTCCCCTCTCTTGCAGGAGTGGAAGTTGGACACGCTGTGTGACTTGTACGAGACTCTGACAATCACTCAGGCTGTCATTTTTTTGAATACAAGAAGGAAGGTTGACTGGTTGACAGAAAAGATGCATGCCAGGGATTTCACAGTTTCTGCTCTGGTGAGATCAGATTTCCTGTTCTGCTCAGGGTAGCAGTGCAGTACTTGTCAATGTCCTGCACATTTCTTGCTGTCCCCTTTAGCACAACAAAACAGGCAGTGATTAAATGCTCTTTTGGACCTTTGACTTTTGCACACTGCACATGTATAATGTGTTCTGTTGTGTGGCGGGTTAAAGAGGGATTGTTATCTTCATCTTGTGTATGTACTTGCAGCATGGAGATATGGACCAGAAGGAGCGAGATGTGATCATGAGAGAGTTTAGATCTGGATCTAGTCGTGTTCTGATCACAACTGATTTGCTGGTGAGTACCTGTTACTTCTTTATCTTAAGATGTTGGTTTTGCATCTTTTAAGTCATCAGTTAAGTTTCAAACACTACAGTGCTCTCCAACATTTGCATGTGAAAGCATTTCAGTACCTGTTAAATACATTGTAGAGCTGGAGTATTTCCATTTGGAAGAAAATGGGACTAGAAGAATTCTGCTTTTGAGGAAGTTGTTAAATAGAAGGCTATCCAACATAAAGATTATAGAACCATGAAGTTTTGTGAAAATTTACATGGTGTAGCTAGTTTGCCTTTTAGAAGGATGTCATTCAGCTGTAAAAACCCAAAGTGGAAATTCTCCTAAAATCCAGATTTCAGTAATTCTCCTTTGTTAGAAAATTACTAGAAGAGGTCTAAGTGAAGTGTTTTGTTTTTAAGGCTCGTGGCATTGATGTACAACAGGTGTCTCTAGTCATCAACTATGATCTACCCACTAATCGGGAAAACTACATACACAGGTGAGTGACAGTTGAAATGAAATCCTGGGGTATTCCCCACTCTAGTCTATAACTTGAGCTTTTCTGGTACGTGGTGCATGTTGAAACTGTTGAGCGTAATGTTCAAACTAATTCATTAAAGCTATAACTTTATTGTATAATTTTATTTCAGATTGTAGTCTTAAGAGTGAATCATGTCTTTGCTGGTTAAATCAGACCTGTAACTGACCCGTTTTCTTTCGCTCTTTGCAGAATTGGTCGTGGTGGCCGTTTTGGCAGAAAAGGAGTTGCTATAAACTTTGTTACTGAAGAAGACAAGCGGATTCTTCGGGATATTGAGACTTTTTACAATACTACTGTTGAGGAGATGCCGATGAATGTGGCTGATCTGATTTAAACCCTGGGATGAGATTGATCTTATGCGGTGCTCGCTGTTGTTGAATAAACGCGTGCATTGTGCTTATTTTATTGGAAAATATTGAATCTTGTCTCAATGCTGAAAACGGATCAGAAATCCAGATTTTTGAAAAGTGAAGCGACATTTGTCGTGAACTCTTGTGAGGATAGCCTTAGGCTTACTCTTCAGAGTTAGACTGCTGGGGTGGGACATAAAGACATGGGGTCTTTAAATTTTTTCTTTATTAGGTTTTTTTTTCCTAGTTTAATAAAGTTGTGCGTGTTAGATGTTCTCTATCATTTAATAATTTACTTATGGACTAAAAGATATAAGTGCTGTATTAAGTCTGCCAATTATGTGAAATTAACATATTTGCAGTTATTGTGAAGTTTGGGTCAGTGGGGATGGCCTTCTAAATTGTCAAAGCACTTTTAGTTCATTTTGTGGAGATGTATTTATTGAATAAACTATTTAATCACTTACGGTCTATTCATTTGTAACATCTCAACTTGTTTGAGCTCTTCCTCCTTTAATGTGGGCCGTTTAAAATTCGCTTTCCTGACCTTTTAATTTTGTTTTAATCATGAAGGCCAAATTGTTGAAAGACCCCATTTTGAAATAAAGAGGAATATGTGGTTATGTGTGTTCTTTGTTTTCTAGCTTTCAAGACCACCATGGGATCTTTTTCCTCCCTTAAATTCTAAATTTTTAAATCTAGCTGTGGGTCAACTAAATGAATTTGAAATTGCAGTACTTGTATCTTTAAGTCAATGCCACTTCCATTAAGTCCTGCAACACGGTGGTACTTAGGGATTTTCAGTGTTTGTCTTGATTCAATGTTTTTCTTGTATTGACATTAGGAACTTGCATTCCTGAATGTTGCGAAGCACTGCTGTTAGCTAACTTACATCTGTGCTTTAGCATTCTTAATGGTATTACATCTGCATTGAATATAAGAGTATGAATTAAACTATGGTCTTAAACTGCATTTAAGTTTCATTTCAATAGCTTAAATGGACTTTACATTGCTAAGTAAAGTTTTTTTTTTGCATGTCAATGTATACAAAAGGCATAACTAGATTTTATTTTGGCAATTCTGTTGCTGCACAACCAATTAAAGCTTCAATTGAAAGCCTTGTTCTTGCTTCTGTAGTTCCAGCTAAGTGCTAGGTTTGCAGAAAGGGTATTTAGTTTTTGGAGAGGTGATGTGAACTTCACTGTTCAGTATCCTTAATGGGAGTGGCATGAAATGAAGGGTAAGGTTTATAGCCACATTGGCTCAGATTGATGCATGGAAACAAGCTCCCAAGATAAATGGGTGTTTTAGGATTCAGAATTGATTTCATTATTGCCAACCCATTCTCTTGGAATAACTTTGATTTTAACTATAAGTGGTGAAGAGTACCCTTAACAAATAATACTAACCTTATCCATCACCAGAAGTAGAAGTTTTTCAAGACCATGTGCCATTTAGTACTTTGGTTCTGCAGTGGTGTATGAATTGACAATCTGCACCAAGCTATACATGTGCCAGAAACATTCAAAGTGCAAGCCATTTCTCAAGTGAAGCACAGTAGCCAACCAGGACAAACTACAATACAAAGTACATTCTAGATTTTTTCCTTAGTTTTAATATTACAAGTGATCGTTTAAAAATATACAATAAATGCTCTTTTTTCCATACAGATCATTTGGGCACCAAAATGAATGCATTTTCTATACCGAGGCAAAGTTTAAATTTCAGGGGAAAACGTCTGCAATTCCCTGTGAAGTTTCAGTAGCTCCGTTCAGTTGTTCTGGGAGCTCTGCTGCATAATAACAGAGCAGAGTGCGATCATCTGCAGGAACTCATCAGCGCCATCAGCCAAGCACTTATCCACTTCCTGTAAAGGAAAATCCAGAATGTTCTTACTCACTTGCTCTTATACATAATTTGAATGCTTAATTAATACTCATCCAAAATGCTGACCACTGCAACTTCATGTGGCAGTACAATACTGGAGGTTAAACTGTAAGTGCAGTAATTTGCATCTTTACTGTTATTTTTGGAAAAGGCACAGGAGAATAGTGGATCTATGTTTTCTGAAATAACTGGTAACATGTTTTTTGGTGGGCCAGAAGACTTAACATGGTTTATATGTGTGGTGTGAGTTTTTCAAGTTTGATTAACAAATGTCGATAGGAACTCGGCAACAGCTCCGTGTTTCACTGTCATCACTGCCAGGACAAGACGATTATGTCCTTTGAACCCAACTGGGTCAAGTTTAAAAACTATTTTTTAATTGGGTGTGGGGGTGAGTGTCACAAATTTTCCATGGGATATAAAAGATGGAGAAAAACGGTGGCCCCAGAGCTGGGTGTCCGTTCATTAGTGAAAACGGACGTCTCATTCCCTGAAGCTTTGCGATTCAAGAAGCCCTCAGTGTTCCCCTGAGCCAAATATCCCAGCCTCCTTGTGCTCTATCCCTGACCCTTAAACTGACTTAGATAAGTTACATCTACCAGCTGATGCGGACTGGCATCACCATGCCAGAAACTTACCGCCATTTTTTCTGCGATGGCCGACTTCTGCTTGTCGTTCAGGCGCTCGTCCTCGAAGACGGAGTCATGAAGCTGGTTGAGAATTTGCGTAGCCGCAAATCCCTGGTCTATCAGGTCCTGCGATTTACAGCAAGAGAGCCCATTAAGGCGACAGTATTAACATGAAAGCACTGAGGTGCTAATTGATAACCTTCTTCTGGGTCTGTGACATTCAGCGCTGAGGTGAGAAAGCGACAACGAACCAGTCTGGACCTGCCATTCTGCTATTTCACTTCCTGGGGTGGAAGCCTGTGCTTTTAACACCCAGGGTACACCAGCATGCAGGCTGTCGATGCGCTAAAGACCAGATGTGACGCAAGACCTGACAAGAAGGAATGAATGTGCTCGACTCCGTAGAAGTAACAGCAACACCCTTCCTATGCTGTTGAAACTGCTCAATTCCTAAAATCATAACAATGTTCTGGCATCCTAGCACCTACATGGAAGTTATCATACTTTGCATTTTCTTCCTTCAAGCCATAGTAAGACCGAAAGAAACTCAGCACAGTCTGAACAAAATCCTCTTAGCATAAGAACAACTTCTCCTAATTTCTTATGTTTTCAATTCACCTTCACATTCATATTCTTAATTCTTATTCAATATAAATAAAATTTGAAAACAAAATCTTGTACCTTGACAGAACTTTCCATTTTTTCAAAGGTGCTGTTGTAACATGTTTGTAATAGGCTGTCGATCATCTTGCAGGGAACAACCTAAAAAAAGGACAAAATGTATCTGACAAGCTCTGTATTTTTTCTTTTCTGCAATACGTAAATGGAGAAATCTGGGATAACATGAACAGAAGGAAGGTTAAATGCCAGATGAGGTGATTAGCCCACCTAGCCCATTTAATGATGGGAACTAATTGAACCCAGTATCTCATCTCACCATTCTTGCAAGAAACAGGCATGGTCTTTAACAACATGGCAGGGTCACATGTTCCAGATTCTCACAGCCCTTTATAACGAGCTTCATAATTAACGCACTCCCGTTCTAACTGAGAGAGCACCTGTAAGCGCTCTTACCCCTGCTATCTCGGTCACGATGCTCTCTGTAATCTCCTTCCCAGCAGTGAGCCGGGCAGCGCTCTGGAGGAAGGTGATGGCTTTTCGGAGGTCTCCTTCCGACACCTGGACCAAAGCAGCAATTCCCTACAAACAACCCCAAATGACAAAATTGACTGCAGGCACTTCAACAAGACAGTACAGAGCGCACACACTGTTAGCCCGGAGACAAACGATCTGAAGTCATGCCTTATCAGGGTATCCCAGTGACGGGAAGTATTTAACGATCCAGAAGACCAAGATGGAAAACTTCGAGTGTCATGCAAGCAACATCGGTACTGTACCTCCTGTGTGCATTTCAAATTTTCCTTTTCACAGATTTCCAACAGTCGCTCCTCCTGTATCTTGTCACTTAATGGTTTAAAACGAAACTTGGAACATCGAGATGTCAATGGCTCAATGATCCTAGGAGGTGGGAACAGAAGTTTCAGTTAGCCTTCTTGTGAGACCGCTGCTGAGCAGGGCTACAGTACAGCATCACAGTGCCTCTGGAGCTCAGACCTGCTGACGTAGTTACAGATGAGGCAAAAGCGTGTGGTTTTCGACTCCTTCTCCATGGTGCGTCTGAGGGCTGCCTGCGCCGCGCCAGTCATGGAGTCTGCCTCATCCAGGATAATGATTTTAAATGGGGGGCACATCTTGCCACTGGCAAAAAGAGACAAGAAAAGAAAACCTGGAAAACCTAGTGTCAAGCTTTAAAACATGCAACACTAACACGCAATATCAACAGCGATGGAAATCCTAGAGACCATCAGGATTTATAAAAAAAGGCACTCATAAAAAAATCACCTACAGAACTGTGTCCGCAATGTCATGAAAACAGGGAAACGGCAAAACACAAGAGTCTTCTTACTCTGTGCGTGTCCCAGCGACTGTCAGCTGCGCAAAATTCTTCACCTTCTCGCGGATAACCTGGATTCCTCTCTCGTCTGAGGCGTTCAGCTCCAGCACTCTCTGTCGGAAGAGCTCTGGGCTGGACAGAGAGATGGAAACGTCACTGTCGGGCGGCAGGTGACCTTACTCACTTCGCTAAGTCACTCTCCTTTTTATGTACCACTTCTGCTCATCTAACGTTTTTACAAAAGTAATATTATGCACTTATTTTCTTAAATAATTATCTAATATTAGAATAGAGACAATGGTGTTAAACAATTCTTAATAACCACAACACTAAAATGTGTAAAGCCCCTTATTTTTGTAATATACATACATATGCACATATCTGTACATTATACGAGTATAAAATGTCCTCATCTGCTTTGCCCCATCCAGCACACACTGTTGAAAAGAGAGGGAAAAAAGTTCCTGAAACAAACTGAAGACCAGGCTGGTCAATCTGAGTCTTTGTAGAAAAATAAAATTTTTCAGCAGGGGCAGCAGTTAGCCGGCACTGCCGATGTGGGCCAAGGGATTAAGGCTTTTGGAAAAGCACCAAGAATGTAGTGAAGTCAGCGGTTTTGAGCTGCCGAGACAGGCACTGTAACTGAGCCGCTGCGCCGCTGGGCTCCCGGCCTGCCAGATCTCTCACCCGTATAGCTCCCTGGCAGCTGCCAGGATTGTGGAGGTCTTCCCTGTCCCTGGAGGGCCATAGAACAGAAGGTTGGGAAGCTGCGAGGAAGACAAGGAAAGAGGCAGGATGAGGAACCTCCTGGAGGCTTCTATGCTTATACTCAGCACGGAGCATTAGGACCGCCTTGTGAGAGGCCCTGCTTCATGGTCACACTGGCCTATGGCACACCTTCTTCCAAGCGCTGGACAACTTGAAGATCAGGCGGACAGTGGTGTGGCTCAGAGAAGGGCACAGACAACCGGATGAGGTGGAGCCACTTGCACATCCAACAGCTGTGCACACTCACACAACAACTGCGATTCTGGATGATGCAAAACCCAGAAGGAATGATCGCACACCTTTTAACTGCTAGAACTAAAATTCTGTCTGCCCCTAAGTCAATACTGCACTACAGCTCAACCGGGGGAAAGGTGCGTGGGAGTTCCCTGCACAGTAAACAATGCAGCAGTAGACAGCAGACGTGTTCTGCAGCTTCTCTCATATCTGTTTCAAGTGCGGAGGAGCCTACAGAAAGAGTCTCATTGCATCCACGGAGCCGCGGCCCCTGAGTTATAGAATTCGGAAACACAAGAGCTAGGATTTCTCACTTCCTGCTAAGTGTTGGAGTTTTTTCCCCTTAGAGAAGAAAAGGTTAATAAATTACAGGTACAGATGTTTTCTTTTATCAATTCAAGACATAGTAATCTATTCCATGCTGAAAAAAAGAAGAAAGAAAACACAACGTTTTGGCAGTGGAGCCTTCTTCAGGTGTCACACCTGAAGAAGGCTCAACAGCCAAAACGTTTTCTTTCTTCTTTTTTTTCAGCATGGAATAAACCTATTACTTGTTCCTTTGCAGCCTACGCATGCTGTCGCAGCTACCCACCTGAACTACTATGGTAATATATGTCTTGCTGTTGAAGGGCTGCCTTTCCCTTTTGAAAACTACTATTAGACAATAACTGCATTTAAAACCACAAATCGCAACTATCTGCCATTCCACTCTTGTGTTATATGTTCAATTGTTTTAGTGATACGCACACACTTTTAAGTCTTAATAATTTTCCTTTTAAAGGAATCTGACAGTTAATATAATCTTTAAAATTCAGAATTTTTTATTACTGCCCTTAATTGAAGTGTAACTATTTATCGGTGTGTCAGAAACTTGCATTTAAAATTTGTCAAAACACCATTGAAACAAATATACTATAACTGAAACCCGACCTTTAAGAAAGTCAGAACAAACAAGTTCCTGGTTTGATACTAGAAGACATCTCAGCAGCAGGTCGATTAAAAACCTTTCCGAGGGAATCTACAGGAGTTTAAGAGATGGTACAGTCAGCTAAATGTGCAGTTGTAGCACATAGCAGGTATACCCAGCAATGGCTTTGCCTGAGTATCAGTTACACTTGAACCGGTGTCCTACAAAGAGGGGTGAGATTCAAGACTAGGGAACAGTTCCTCCGTTATTTATAGTGCAAAGGAAACTCAATCAGGGCAACGAGAGCTACATTAGCACAGGGAATGACGAGTCTAGAAGAGTGCAGGTGACAATGCAGGCCAAACTGCAAAAAACACCACACCGCAATTAAATTGCATTATTACCCCACATAGCCTCCAGTTCCAATTCCTGAACAGTTTAATCTGGAAGCAGCAGAAAAACATTTTTCATCTGAAACAGAGAGGTCTAGCCCACAGCAGCCTGAAGAGGCGGACCCTGGGGAACCCACTCCCACTGTGACAGAAACAGGGGAGCCAGCTGTAGCAAAATCCACAACTGTGCAGAATCGGGAATCGTGTGGAAACAATCTTCCTGTCGATCACAGAAACAACTCCCACTGTTCCCCCCCTCAGCTCTGCAACGCTGCACATCACACATTTCACTCGATACCGGCAAGAAAGCTCACAGAGGTGAACAAACAATGAGGCAGAAAACTCACCCCTCTCAGAAACTGACTTACAATCCAGCTTAACCCTCATTTCTATTTTCAGATGCTTTCACAATGTTTTTTGTTCTGTCTGCATCTCCTATGTGCTTACTAACTATGCATTTCATTATGTAGTGAAAAGCAAAGTTATTTAAAGGAATAAATGTCCTTGTGGGGTTTTTATGCACATCTCTATTTTTTTTGCACATGGATCATACAGAAAGATCACTCCTCTGGTTCAGAGCATTACACTTACTCTCTTACAGTGGATGTCACATGGTCTTGCTGGGCTGCTTCTTAGCTCTCTATGACATCACCTGTCTGTGCATGATGAGGTCATTACGATCAGAAGCAGCCCCACAGGAACATTGTTACAATAGGCCTCAATTCTGTACTTGTTTCACATGTACACAGCACAGCTGTCCAGAAGACATGACAGATATAAAAGAGACAGGTCTCACGGTGTATCCTGGGGCCCAGGCGACGCTCTCAGAGAACAAAGAATGCACACAGAGGCCCCTGCTTGAGCCAATGTGCCTGTTTAAATACACTAACGAGTGTGAAGTAAGGCCAATTACACAGCAGAAAGACTCACATCAGCGCCCTCTAGCGATCGTTTCAGTACTGCAACCACCTCTTCCTGAAAGGCCACATCGTCCACACATTTCGGTCTGCTGTAAGACAACAGCATAATGTATTAATCACTGTCCCCAGGAACACCCAGATATGAACCCTGTTAATGGGATGGTGTATAACTACTCTGGCTGAGGTGATCAAGACAGAAGCACATCTTATGGACTCTCGTGGTAGGAATTTTGTGCACACATTGACTATTACACATCTTTAATAATAAAAATAATAATAATAATAATAATAATAATAATAATTCCTTACACTTATATAGCACTTTTCTGGACACTCCACTCAAAGTGCTTTACAGGTAATGGGGATCCCCTCCAGTGTGCACCCCCACCTGGATGATGCTCCAGTGCTCTCCCTACACACCAGCTCTCAGTGGGGAGGAGAGCAGAGTGATGAAGCCA